CTGAATGTGTCCTACCTTACCACATTTAAAACATTCAGCATTACGAAATACACATGGATTGCGAGAATGAAACTTTCCACATGATAAACATTTACCAAACTTCATCTCACCTTTGTGATTTGCTTTGTAATTCATCGTTGAAACACCTTTCATATTTACACGAGAATAGGAATCACTGTTAAATGAACGCAAATTTGATTGACCCTGAGATTGTAGTTCATCATGACGACTAAGCAAAGTATCAGAAATCTTCATCGACTGGATATCAAGTTCATTCACTGCTTCGTAGTTAATACACGCAGTCCTAGCATCTTGAAAGGAACAGTTTGGCATTTTTAACAGCTCTCTTTCCAAACTCGGTATGTTAATTCCTGCAATTAATCGATCTCTCAGTTGCACATGAAGTTGATCACCGAAATTACACTTGGCAGCTTGTTTCTGTAATTCTAGGATGAATTCCCGAACCTTTTGGTCATTTCGACGAACCATCTTATGAAACTTCGCCCTTTCACGGCATTCAAAACTGGTGCATCTTACATGACTTAACAATAGCTCTTTAAGAGTTGCATAAAGGAGTGAGATAGGTTTTTCTGGATATGCCAAACTTTTTAATAAGCTGTACGCTTCTCTCCCAATGAATGTCAGAAAATGTGCCACAATTTTCTCACCTTTAACATCTTTCTTGGTCATGCTCCAAATTTCGAACCTTTCCAAATAATCCTCAATAGCTTCAGGAGTTGAATGACTATCCAACTTTTCCATTGCAGGTTCCATCACGACGCCAATATAGTATTCTAATTGTCGTATGAATTAGGAATTCCAGGATTAACTCCATTGAATTAAGAAGACACAGACACAACGAATGTACTGTATTTAGAATTCGAAATCAAACATTCAACCAGTACAAAGGTAACACTAGTCCATTCAAACACCACCCAAGGTTTTTAACACGATGATACAGGGACGTGTAGTTGACGTGATAATGGATATATAATGCATAACTGATACACAAGGAAAACGTATTGAATACTAATGCAATCATATGTTCAGCGTTTCTGGAGCGATATACGACTAATTTTTGTTATTATGATTATAAAAATTATGTAATTTTCCTGTCGCCATATACAGGATTGACCCATCGATCTGTAGTGAGAATAACAGTGGATCGTGACCTTTTATTTTCCAAACAATCGTTTTGAGCTATTTGAGTGTACATGAGATTAAAATGCAAAGTAATGGGATTTTGTTTAACTACGTGCCTTATTTTTTAGAGCGCTCTGTTTGCAACTGGTCTGGTCGTAATGCTGATTGCCAGAAAATGACTAGTACTGGTGTGTTTCATTTGGATATGCCGGAAGCTCCAAGTTATGACGACAGTGAAGAAAATTCTCACGATTATTGCTCGACACATGGAGGGGTAGAGGTAAGGTGTTTGATTTTAAAACTAGTGTTATAGGATGAGTTTTTTGAACGTGGCCCACTTAAACCAGATGAGTAAGCTTAAAGGATTCCCTGTTCAATTAATCTGTAGACTCGATGAAAACATTAAAACGGTTGAAATTTGCGAAGAGACAGTGAATCCTGGTCAACCTAAAGTCCGGCCGCACGACTTTCAACTTCTGAAAGTCCTTGGGAAAGGTGGTTATGGAAAAGTATGACTTTGGCATTTTTTTACAACATATATGTATAGGTTTTCCTTGCACGCAAAAATGATACTGGCCAAACCTATGCGATGAAAGTTTTAAAGAAAGCCTCGATTGTGACGAACGCTAAGGATACTGCACACACTAAAAGCGAGAGAAATATACTCGAAATGATTAAAGTACGTCCTCAATGTCATATTTATTGTGAAGCATCCATTTCTAGTTCAATTGCATTTTGCTTTCCAATCCCCTGGAAAGCTTTACCTAGTCTTGGAATTTCTAGCTGGAGGTGAGCTGTTCATGCAACTTGAGAAAGAGGGAGTGTTTATGGAAGATCAAGCCAGGTAAGTTTGCTTATACATCCTATTGATTTCGTCTCAGTACATAAGCGCTACTTATTAACTTAAGTTTTGTTGTTTGTAGTCTTTGTTTCTAAAAGTGATCGAAATAGTTCTCTTGATAAATAGTATTCGTTTATTGGACTTAATGTTGGCCTCAAGCGTAATGAAACAGCAATTCAGTTTATTTTGCAGCAGAAAATCCCGAGAAAAGTTGTTGCAGAGTGCTCAAGGCGTCATTTGGGTGTCTGCGAGACATAAGTTTTTGTGAATCTTAGTTTCGTCAAAGTAACATGGCTAATAAAAGTATTGAGAATTGTCCTTTGTACACTTCAAATTCAAACTAGTTAGTTAAGAACTGCGTCATCCACTTATCAACATCTGAAATATCTAGTTCTTATTGCTTCATGGGTTTGTGTGTTTTGGAGATTTCTCAGAGAATATGGTACCCGAGTTTTGACTACTGATCTACTATGTTTTCATTCGCGTCAACAGGGTTTTTAACATCATGTTATTATTTTCACCAATAACAATATGTTTATATTTAAGTGCGTAAGATTAAATTAACTTCGTTCAGTGCTTTCTACTTCCCAGTGACTTCAATAAAATGTTTTATTACTCAGCACATCTGGATCGCAAGCAATCTAGTGTTATGTTAGAAAATTCTAATCAAGGTCTTTGTGCCCAAAGCTAATCGAGATCATCGAAACACCCATGTGGAATATCATGAATCGACCAAAGTTGGACACAAGCATCATTAGGTTAGGACCTAGCGTTTTACGGGCTGAGCATTCACCAGAGATCAATGGTTCTACTTTCCGTTGTCGTAAGTTCGTGGACGCACGCAGCTGAAAAGTTCAGTGCTTTCTGATTTTCAGTAGATATTTAGTTTAAGTTGGTTCGTAAGATGAATAAGTCGATTTGACGAACGATTTTTAGAAGTTGCAGTTTATTGTGAGACGGGAATACTGAGATATCTTGGCTTTTACGAATTCTTCGCACACGACTGTGAGCTTAAATGAACTCTCGTATAATTTAGGGCACGAAATCAGGCAAATAAGGTTTGTCACTTTACATGCCACCTAAAATTTTTAATTCTAAACCTCAAGCCAAATATTTAAAAAATAAAACATTTCCAGCACTTCTTATCATTTTATTTGGTAAATGACTTTAGAAATGATGCAATGAAATAACTTGGACTGGTTTTTTCCCTTCTGTTTCCCTCAGCTTTTATTTGGCGGAAATAACTCTTGCCATTGGTCATCTTCATTCGATGGGGATTGTTTATCGAGATTTGAAACCCGAAAATGTACTTTTAGACCATCAAGGCCATGTTAAACTAACGGATTTTGGATTGTCTAAAGAGAGAGTCGATCGTGATAATTTAACTCACACATTCTGCGGGACTATTGAGTACATGTAAGTAAATAATTTTGGAATGTATCGGAATATTGTTTATGACAAGTAAAGCTGGAAAAGTGTAACCCTGTTTATTTGGTTAGTTGTACAAGTCAACCCAATGTTTAGAAGGTTTTCATGAACTGGCTTCAGCTGATAAGCCACTTAGCTTTGAGGAGAACTAAACAGATTTTCTCTTAGCAAGCCTCATCTACTTCAAAGCTTCACGACAAGCACACTTTTCCGACCATTGATTTAGGGTTCATTGTTTCTCATTTTCGTTTCTGTCTAATTTGCAGTATTACAAAGGAGTTTATAAGGGAATTCTATGTATGGTAGTAGGAAGACGACAGATACTAGTAAATGCTTTCTTTGCTGTAAGTAAATCGGGTTTATTGAAATCAAATAATTCCGTCTTCGACTTCATTGTGAAGCAGCTGTGTCAGTACATCGCTCTTGTTTAGTTTTTCCAATCAAATAAGCTTTAAATGCTATGTCCTGGAAGTGCTTTTATTCGCGATCTCGTTCACGTAATCGAAGATACAAAAAATTGTTGTCAAGGCTTACAACTTATTTCTCGTTTTCCTTCTCTAGTAGCATGAGGACTTTAAATTGCGTTATCACTCCCTATTCAGTCTCGTCTGTTTAGTGGTCTTTTTGAGATATTAATATCAATTTTGTGTTCATTTTATAGGGCTCCCGAAATATTGTTACGTCAAGGACACGGGAGAGCCGTTGATTGGTGGAGTCTTGGCACGCTTATGTATGATATGCTTTCGGGATCTGTAAGTTCTTTACTTAATTGTATATTCGTTTGATTATTTTTACGTGGAAATTGATTCATATTATTCTCACTTTCAGCCTCCATTTACAGGCGATGATAGAAGACAAACTATTGACTTGGTAAGCAATCTTGTTTTTTTTAAACTTAGTGGAAATACATTTGTTTTGATAAGTTTGTAAACGACTGACTTCTGTCAGTACCTAGCAGAAGTTTGAAACACCTCGATGTCAACTACCAAAAAGAAAAAGAAAATATTTTGGACTTTGAATTGTGGGTATATAGGAAATTTTGAATATCTCCAGTTTATTTATTTATTTATTTGCCCTGGTACGGCCGAGAGTGGGGAGAGTCCGCTCTCCCTCTCGAAATACTCTCACATGGCCACGCGTATATAGCCTCTGACAGGGAAGTCCTACTCACTGCCTTCTCGTGGCAGGGGTGTTGTTTACGAAAATGAGAGGACGAAAAGCGAATGTCCGGCGCTTTAACCGGATTCCAAACCAATGGCGCACATGGGCTGGCTCCAGTATCCTGTGGGAACAAATGGCGTATGAACCAATTCCTTGGTCACCGGCTACCATAGGACTGCATCTCCTTACGATGCTCCACTGCCTTGTGGGTTAAACCATTAGGTCGAAGGCTCGGCGTGTGGCTCCCTAAGAAAACCACCTGCTTCGGTTTGGGCACCCGGGCAGTATCACAGCCCTCTTACATATCGAATGAGATTTATGTGGCGCATATGTATTTGGTGCCTCCTTGTACCAATATCTATGTGTTGAAATAAATAAATTAATATTGGTATAAGAGTGCGGCAAATATATATGTGCCACACAAAACAATGAGAATTTAAAGAGAAGGAAAAAGAAAAAAGGTAAGGAGGGTAAAAAAGGACAATAACGAAGAGATTGGTGTAAGGTAGTTTAGTAATAATGAGGGAACGGAAAGGTACAATCAGAAGAAATCTTTCAGTTAAGGGTGACAACCACTTTTTATGAAGAAAGTAAAAGAAGGTTACAGTAGGATCGCCACTGGCTTCTATTCTGGGCCATATCTGATAACGTCTCTAGCCACTGTGTAGCACCATCTATCGGACCCCAACCAGGGAGTCGTGAAGGACCAACACAAGCCAGTCCTTTGCAGCTTTCTTTCATGCCACGACACCATGTCATGCACTGACCACTTCTCCGCTTCTTCCAACCAGTCCCATGGTCGGCAAATATTGCACGACGTGGAATTCTCTGGGACGACATTCGTAGAACATGTCCAAGCCACCGAAGTCGATGTTTCAAGATGGGAACGTCGATTGCATTATCATCTCTGTGCCCGAACACACGATGCCGAACCTCTACATTACTGACATGGTGTTGCCACTGGATGTCAGCAATTTTTCGGAGACAATGATGATCAAACACAGAGAGTCTTCTAACGTCCTCAACTCGGAGAGGCCAGGTTTCACAAGCATAGAACAAAACTGCTCCCACCGACGCGTTGTAGATCCGACCTTTTACAACAAGACTGACATCACGAAGACGCATCAGTAATAGCATTCAAGCAATAACGAAACATAACACAAAGACGGCCCAGATTGGCATAAGCCGCTCTGACTTCTAATATACGTGCATTGATCTCACCACTCACACCCCCATCAGCACTTATGCAGCTACCCAGATACACGAACTTCCCGACTACTTCTATCTGTTCACCATCCAGAGTGAGTACAGGATTAGAATCCTGTCAGTCTTATAGAAGTGGTTTGCACCATACCATACCTACAGACACTGATTGCCAACTGATTAAGTGCGGATTGCATGGCTTGTGCATTATCGCACAGTTAGGCAATATCATCCGCATTGATAAGTATGACGGTGTTCTAACATTTGGCGGAGGGTGAAGATATGATCAATACATTCTCGACCAGAACGAAACCCAGCCTGCTCCTCGCGAGTCAATCTTTCTCGGGTTTTGAACAACCTACGAAGAATGACGGAAGCCAATAGCTTGGACGCAATCAGAAGTAAACTTATCTCCCGATAGTTGTTACAGGAACGACGTGAACCCCTTTTAAAGATAGGGACAACTATCGACTCATTCCATGACGTTGGTACACTCTCTAGTTCCCAAACCTTTGTAAACAACGTCGTCAATTCCTTAGTCAAAAAGTCACCACCATCTTTAAAAAGAGCCGGAGGTAAGTCATCTGGGCCAGGTGATTTGTAACGCTTCAAGAGTTGGAGTTCCTTGCAGACTTCCTCCTCATTTGGTGGATCAGTCGTCACCGGCCATGGAGGGCAGGACAGTCTGACCGATGTTGCCGGAGCAGCAGGCCAGTTGAACTGCCCTTCGAAAAATTCTGCCCATCGTCCAAGACGTCGATGGATGTTAGTGATTGGCATCCCATCATCCTCGCAGATTGTTTCGCTCACATCAGACTTCTTGCTACCAGTGGTTCAGATGAGTTGGAAGAGGTTCCGGTAATTACCAGATGCAGCTGCTGCTTCCAGCTCATTAGCACGCTCCGACCACCAGGCTTCTCGGTCCTTACGCAAGCTTTGCCCAATTTCCTCACGTAACATCCTTCGTTTGTGGTCAAACTCACGGTCACCCGGAGTAGACCGACGGGCTTCAATGAGTTGTAAGGAACCAGAAGAAACCCAGTGCTTATAAACGGGACGTTTCGCGAACCCACAACTGACTGTTCCCGCCACTTTCATGGCGTCATGCAATTGCAACCAATGCTCATCCATACTTTTCGGTGGAATGGTAGCTAGCCTAGCAGCTATCTCGGTTCGATTCTTACTAGCAACAGAAGTTGCAACCAGCTTGCTAACATCAATCTTTTGGTGGTGGTCACTTCGTTGTCCACTGAAAAGTAAGGCAAGATTGGCGCAGACCAAGGGATGGTCAGAGTCCAGATAGGTACTCCAAAAGGAGCGGCAGTCTTGTACACAACCACGCCAGTGGTAGCTGATCGTGATGTGATCAATCTGAGTCCAGGCTTGAGATGCAGAGGGAGGACGCCAGGTGGCACATCGGCGATGACTGTGCCGAAAGTTAGTGCTAGCCAGAAACAGGTTGTGGTCTGTGCAGTTGCAGTAGACGGTCCCCGTCCCCGTTATCTGACCTGCGACCAACAAGTCCCCATCGGCCACCTAAACGACTCTCTTCTGTGCCTAGACGCCCGACCTGAGCATTCAAGTCTCCGGCTAGTACTACAATATCTGTCGAACGCACTTTCTGGAGAAGAACAGATAATTGGTGGTAAAACTCATCCTTGATTGCATCCGGGCTGCAATCTGTCGGAGCATAGGCGGAGATGATGAAAATACATCGTTTCTCACGCCTATTTCTCCTCACTTTGATGGAACTTTCTAATCTGACAGCACATAACCGACTGTTAATGGGGATCCAATCGATTAGTGCTGCCTCATCTCTAGCGCTTGGTGCGACACTAACGCCAGCAAGACCAGACGAAGATGCCACAGGGTCCCCGGATAAGCGCACGTAAAACAAGCTTTTTGAAGCGACAGATGAAGAGCGAATTTGTAGTACTTCACCAGAGTCTTGAATACGGGTCTCGGCTAGACAGCAAACATCGATATTAAGACTTTCCAAAGACATAACCAGCCCTATCTGTTGTCCAACCTGAATAAGTGTGAGAACGTTGAAGTCAGCCAGTTTGAATGGTGCACGTGGTTTCAGAAAAACTGCTTCAGTACTCATATTCGGTGGTAACATACAATTTTCAACCGGACAGTGACTCGAGAACGTTTAGATACAGTCGAATTTCCACCATAAACGGGCTGCTCTATAAGTCGAAGAATAAGTATCAACAGAGTGGGAATAAAAGAGGGTGAATAATGACGTAGTAAATAATAATAATAATAATAATTTCGAGTCACCTGATTGTTATTTAGAGCGAGAGGAATATTTTTCATAGGTAGATAGTTTATCATGTTTTTGTGTGCGGACTGGGGTACTGCCCGGGTGCCCAAACCGAAGCAGGTGGTTTTCTTAGGGAGCCACACGCCGAGCCTTCGACCTAAAGGTCTAACCCACAAGGCAGTGGAGCATCGTAAGGAGATGCAGTCCTATGGTAGCCGGTGACCAAGGAATTGGTTCATACGCCATTTGTTCCCACAGGATACTGGAGCCAGCCCATGTGCGCCATTGGTTTGGAATCCGGTTAAAGCGCCGGACATTCGCTTTTCGTCCTCTCATTTTCGTAAACAACACCCCTGCCACGAGAAGGCAGTGAGTAGGACTTCCCTGTCAGAGGCTATATACGCGTGGCCATGTGAGAGTATTTCGAGAGGGAGGGCGAACCCACCCCGCTCTCGGCCAAACCAGGGCATTCGGGGGCACTTGTTAGAAAGAAAAAAATACCTCGTGTTTTTAATCCAATCTATTTTCAAGATCTAGCGTTTTAATTTCACTTACAAAACAAGATGAACCTACTTAAATTATCAGTAGCAAAATCAATTGCATCGCCCATATCTGTTCCTGAAACTGGTGCGGATATGGAAAGCTTAATTGACATAAGAACCGTTTAATATGTGGTAGTTGTGCAGGTTGGTAGTGTTTTGTAAACTGTTCAGTGTTTTTAAACTAAATATTGTAATAAGATTCTAAAGTTGAATGAACCCTGTTTTGTGGTGCCATGAAGAATTCGTGTTCGTCAAAATGTAGATCTATAAGCTAGTCGTTTAATGCAATTTTACTTTGTTTTAGATATTACGAGGTGATTTCATACCTGTACCTTATTTAAGTCGGGAAGCCGTATCACTTATTTCCAAGGTAAGTTGTGTAATTCGACTTACGCATAATTAGTTACGTTAAGCATGTTCTTGAATAACTTGTAACCGCTTCTAAAATGTGAAGTTTGACATTTTAGTTTCGATACTTCCTAGAATACGGTCGTTAGCAAATTAGTAAACGTCGGGCGTCGTAAACCGTAGTACAATATTTCACACTTGTATCCGTCTATCAACCAAAGGACGCGTTTACTGCGCACCAGTTCGTTCCGTCCTACTTTATGGCAGTGAAACATGGCCGGTAAGAGTAGAGGATATCCGTAGGTTACTAGTATTTGGTCTTAGGTGTCTTCGAAATATTGCTCGTATATCCTGGGACCATCGAGTAAGTAATGCAGTTGTTAAAAAACAGGTACTAGGTAAGGATGGCAAATCAATTGATGACGTAGTGAAACTTCATCAGTTGAGATGACTGGGACATGTGTTACGTATGCATAACAACCGACTGCCCCGACGAGCGATGTTTTGTTGTATAGGAGTAGATTGGAAGAAAGCTAGGGTCGACCAGACCAAAACATGGCACAAATCCATGAAGTCACTGACAAGTAGACTGAGTCATATTGGTAGGTGAAGGCTACCTGGTTGGGGACCGCGAGATGATAGCAACCGATGGTTAGACACCCTGAATGACATAGTTCAAAATTGTTTGCAATGGCGCAGGTGCATCCACTCTGTGTTCTCCCAAATTCTAATCTTCTGAATTCTTCATGTCCCTTTCTTTTTTCTCTTTCCAAATTTATTTCACTGTATTATACTCCTTGAATAACATCTTCAAACCCTAATTTTTCTGATTACAGTTTATAATTTTACTACATCTAGCACTACGGGATTTGAATCGACCACTGCATCTTTGTGCTAATGTGGTGTGCCAACTCGAACTGATGTACGTACGTACGAAGTTCTACGTTGTTATTGACTGACTGACTGACTGATATGTATAAATTAATAATTCCTTCAAGGGATGCTATAACTATGAAGATACTTACTGATTTCTGAATTAGTATTCAGAAAACAAGTACTATAATAAAAGAGCAGTTTTTAGGAGCATTGACAGTACATAGCAATGATATTCTTCAAGAAATTCATCTGTCATTACTTGATTAGGATGATTAGGACACCTGACAAAAAATGGGCAAAGCTGTGGTCCATAAATTAATATTACATTCAACAAGATTATAGACCTCCTTTGACTTGGTCGATTCACGCGTTACACGTCAATTTACAGTTTACATAGGCTAGCTATAGCCGGATTATGTTCAATAGCGGCTACGGGCGACCATACTAAAACGCTCAACCAATCCGTGTAGTCACTTATTCTTGGCTTGATTTGTATAACGGTATGTAGACTTCTAAGACTCAAATATTTTATTATTCGCAATTTGTTCTTTGCTGCCTATGATCATGTATATTAATCCTAACCTCTTGGTGATTGTCTTTTCGCTGTTTTGAAGTGTGATAACTCAGTTGAAAGTGCTCCGTTGCAGTATGTATTGAACGAAAAATTCAGCAAACATCTTAAGTGTAATTTCTGGTCGTCAAATCAGTAAATTTTTTTACGAAGATCAAGACAAATATTAAAGTCATCCCACTGGTTAAATTAATTGTTTATTGCTTTGTTTAGCAATTCCTAAAAGTACCCTATTTCTCATGATTGCTGATCAATATGAAGGAAAGGTCAATGTAAACATCTCTGGAAGAATAATTTCTTGTTTGATATCTCCATTTTGGTCGTCAGCACTCGTTTACATGTTTAATTTATTCTATAATTCCTTTAGCTTTTAGTTGTTGATGTCAGTAGACGCCTTGGTTCTGGTCCATCCGATTCCGAGGCGATCAAGATGCACCCATTTTTTCGTAATACTGATTGGGATCGTGTTCTGAAAAAGCAGGTTGAACCACCCTTCCGACCCACTTTGACATCTGACACGGATGTTTCTCTTTTCGATCCCAAATTCACTCAAGAAAATCCCGTCGAAAG